TGTTACCTGGTGAGGGTGAAAAAAGGGTAACTATTGTATTGTTCTGTACACCTGAAACTAACAATAAAAAAATAAATTAAAAAATTAAAAAATAAATAAAAATAAACCTGTATTTTAAGTGGCTATATGGTTAGTATGAGATAATATGTGTGAAAATAAAACATGCTGAGGCAAGTTGGCACTATTATATTTCTTTGGACATGACAGTCCCAGCAGTGGGGAAAAACATTTTTAACATCAAACTGTACAGATGTTGGACAATAGGCATGTCAATGGAAAAAAAAAAACAGAGTAAAAGCAATGGCTGGTAACCCAAACAAGGAAGGAAAGAAGAAGAACTATATTATGAAGGCAACCGAGGGTGATTTTCTACCAGACTACAAAACTGCCACAAGGGCAAGATACAGTAGCGATGGGAGAATTTCAACTTCAAGAACTTCTGACAGAATATCTTGCTCGCTCTCTTGTGCTTCCACGCTCTCTCCTTCTCGCTCTTTCTCCTGCCCTCATTGCTTCATTGTTTCCCTCCAGTCAACATTATTTATTGAGCATCTTCTTGTCTAGACAATGGGCTGTGTGTTGAAGACAAGAAGATAAGTATTATAAGTTTTTTGAGGAGTTTACAGTCAGGTGGTAGGAGACAAATAAGTGAAAAAATTATACGGATAAAACAGGGAGCATTAAAATAAAAGTTTGTACAAATACTGTGACTTTTTGTTTTATCTCTCAGATAGTAGAGAGAGCAATGAAGAAAATAAGTCAATGATGTAAAGTTAATGGGAATATTCAGGAAAGATGACCATGCCATTTGGGATTTCATGGTATATAAAACACTGTCAGGCATATTCAAATAGAAAATGTAGGAAAAACAATTACAAAGAATTTAAGGAAAGATATAAGCTGTCCTTGAATAGAAACCTCAAATTTTAATTTCTGTCCAAGTAATAATGAATATAGCCCCATAAAAGATATTACTCAACCTTTCTGTTCATCCATAAAGTGAATATTATAATAGTAACCACTGCATACATACTTTTCAAGTGCCCAGTATATAGTAATAACTCGATTAATATTATTATAATCTAAAGAAAATAATGAGACCTCACTAAGAACTCCGGGGAGCCCAGACCTCCTTCCTTAATGGAAGAGAGGAGTATATATCCAAACACCAATAAAAAGAGTATTATTAAAGCCTATAAGAATTTGTATGTATATGTGCTTGTGTATGTATGAAGAAAAGAAACTAAAGAATAGATAGAAACATTGGTGGTGAAAATCATGTAATATTAATGAAAGAAAACTATTCAGTTTAACTGTGTTTTTCTATCAATGATAAATTTTATCAAGCAAGAAGAGGTTAATTAATCATTGTTAAGAAGGAAGTTCCAGATAAGGGCAAGACTGGTAGAGAGCGACTAGTTGGTTAAATAATTCAAGACAGTAAACCCAGCACAATCATAAGGAACTGGGAGATAGAGATAGAGAGAAATACAGAGAGAGAGAGAGTATATGTGCGTATATGATCTGGTATTTCATGTAAAAACTACCAGTGCCTTAAGCATAATAGATTTTCAATAATTTTATGTGAATTTGATGGAAGGCATAAGGCTTATATTTGACCACAAACATATGAGCCAGTGGTGTAATGTGATTTCCAGAAAATACTAATGCAGATCAGAGCTGAATTGATGGAAGTTTAGCACACAGATCGAGGGAGGTAGTAACTCACTTCCATCTTTGCTATTCAAAAGAAACCAAGATCCTGAGCCAGCTCTGGATGCAAACTTTAATAGAAACACCAACAAATTTCATTGCCAGAATGGTGAGGCTGATTGGGTCTCTAAAAAATCATGTCTTAATAAACAGTTGGGGCCGACTGAGTGGCTCAGTTGGTAAAGAGCTCGCTCAAGAGTGCGAGCTCTGAGCAACAGGGTCGCCGGTTTGATTCCTGGCACGAGCTAAGCTGCCGCTGAGCTGCCAACAGATGGCAGTATGGCTCAGCTAAAAAAAAAAAAAAGAGAGAGAGGAAAAGAAACAGTTGAAGGAACTGAAGCCGCCCTGAGAGCTATCTTCATATATTAGAAGGACCCTCTCCCTCTCTCTCTCTCTCTCTCTCTCTCTCATGGGGGAGGGATGGAACCTTATCATTATTGCTCCAGAGATCAGGAACTCAGATTAAGGAAGGATGTTGTGACCTTACTGTCCGTCGATGGGACAGGCAGTCTCCCAACTACAAGGAGGAGACGTTTTTTGTCGTTGGCAAGGGGGTTCACTTAGAGGTTGGATGATCTTCTGTTGCAGATTCTTGCTTTGTGAAAGATCAAGATCCATACTGTCATTTCTAACTCCAATATTTTATTTTTCATTTAAAGTGTTGCGTTAGAATTTTGTTAAACCATGGTGTCTGTAGATTGTATATGAGTTATTTTAATGCCTTCTTCATGACTATATATGCTATATAAACAATGTCATTATAATGAAAAGTTTCAAAGTCACAGTCTACTTATCTCAAACAATATTCAATATTACCAAGCTCAAATAAAAGAAAGAAATTTGGAAAGTGAGTATTGTAATATGACTTGAATATATAGTGTATGTCATTGCCACCACATATCAGCTTCATGCGAAGTGACTTATTTTAAACTTTGAACTATTGTTAAAGAATGTATGCATAGCTCCTTTTTTATTCTCTAATTTCAGTGCTTGAAGATCCAAATTTCATGGGCAAGTATTACAAGTGGAAGAAAATGGAGCTAAAACATCCTAAAGAATGGAATTTAAAGTAAGTAATTTGAAGTGTCTAGAATATATTGTCCTATTAACTTGAAATATCTACCATTCTGCGTTCTACTATCTGAGTGAACTATCTGGAGAAATCCTTTGGAAGTAGTTTTTGCTCTTTTCTAAACATAACAACAAGAATAAGAAGTATCATTTTTTTTTTTTACTTTCGTATGAATCCAGGTAGGAAATATCTTTGCTACCTGTTGGCTGCCAGAAATGGAGAAAGGCCATGAACCACGGGGAAGGACTCTCACGATACCCTCCCCATTAAGACTTACTCCCATTCCCACCATTCTTATCAATATATGACTTAGAAATAAGAAAACAAAACAAAACAACCTGTTTCTATATCACCAATTAAGTTTTCATCCTTCGCATAGTTCTACATATCTTTTCCTCTTTCACAGATTTCTCGCTCAGGAACTATATACATCTAATGAGGAAGTATGTAGCAAAATACAAAAACAAATGATTAAAATATCTTCAGAAAGACTCTTAGACCACATTAAGGATGGGATCCTAACCTCCTCTTGGGCTCTTAACTCTTAACAGCAGTTTTGCTGCTCCATCATGCTGGAGCAATTTCATCTCAGTCTTGTGGTGTGGGCTCGGTTGTAGGACTCATTTATTCTGATGTGATCATTTTAAAGTACTCAGCGAATGTGCCACCACAGAGCTAGGGGATTTAATGATCCTATTGTTTGCATTTACCTAATTTCTTAGCTCTTTGACTTGGCGCTGTGACCTCTTTTCTAGATGGAAATACAGGCTTTGTAAAAATAATGTGCTGTATTTTGAATTTGTGTAGAAATGGAGGTTCTTAAAATATACTTTCCTATCCTTTACCATCACAGTTCAGATTGGCCTTTTCAGTTGGATAGTCTTTTTTCAGCTGACTCCTGCCACAACTTTCCTTCAAGCCAAAGTGGAGAAAAGCATGTGTATTAGGTACTTTTCTACTTTCAGAATAAATTATAGGCTGTAGAAAAGTTTTTATTAAGCAGAATTTGAAAAAATATAAGCATGGGTTTATTTTTTTGTTTTGTTTTTTTTTCCTTGAAGGAACGTTTTAAGTTTCATTTAAAGAAAACTACTTAGAATATAAGGTTAATTTTGCTTTGACATGACTTTTTTTTTAATTCCTTTAACAGAACTGCTTTGTTTCACTTGTTTGATCATTGATTCATTATGTAATACCAGCATCCCACAGAACCCAAAAATTTAGAAAAAGTAGGACCATGTCATTTTCAACTTATCTGTCTCCTTCTACATATGGCCGAAATAATTGTGAACTGTGTGAGTGCTAGAACATTTTTCCAAATACATTATTTTGAAGTTTATAAGTCAAACTATCATGTGAGTGGTGACTCTGTCAGAATAAAACTCTCACACCTTATGCCATCTGGTGGTTGATAAGAACATATTTAGATCAGATAGTATTTGCTTCTTTCAAATTTTGGAGTGGATTAGCAAAAAAAAAAACAACACTTAAAGTTTTTAAAAGATATTTCATGTATCTGTATTGTATAATGGTATTGTGGCATAAATATTTGAGTATGCAAAAATCTAAAGTATGGTGGAATCAACTTCTTTTCAGATAATTATTGAAAGTCTCTTAGTCATCAAAATACACAAGGTATAATAAACTGGCCAATTTCTAGAGCTTAAGTAGAAAATGTTTGGGGATCTATGCAAGTGAGTCATTTGTATGTGCTTGCAATATAATACCATTATGTGTCTCTCTGTTTTTATATTTGAAAATGCTTTCCTTGCACTAAATTTCCTATTTAAAAAAACAAACAAAACAGAAAATGCTGATTGAGAACCTTCCATCTGCATAGTGTTAAGGAGAAAGTGAGACCTATCTTTCCTATTTTGTATCTTTTCTCCTACTTCCCTCCCATCGCTTCATCAATCAAGACCTGATTCTTAAGCCACACTCAATTCTCTTTTCTATTATTTGGGGACATGAGGTCGTTCACCACTTTGTGCCATCTGCCTGGGAGATCTTTCCCAGTAGGGTCGTTGCTGGTGGTCTGGAGTTAGGGTTTAGTCTGAGTTCAAAGGCGGAACATCGAGTGTTTTAGCACAGGGGCACTGAGCCAGGCTGACTGCGTTTGAACCCTGGTTCTGCCAATTACCCACTCTGTGACCTTGGGCAAGTTATCTGACTTCTTCATGCCTCGGTTTCCTTCTCTGTTACATGGCAGTGATAACTGTCCCTGCCTCCCAAGGAAGTTGAGAGGTTTAAATAAATGAATACCTGTAAAATGATTCAAACTATATCTGGAGCATAGTAAGTACTTGTCAGGTTTGCTATTACTCATGCTTTTCTTACTGTGGCCCTAGTTCAAGTTTCAGATGGAAACTTTCTCTGGAGGCAGCATGGGGAAAGAGAATGGGCTTTAGAATCAGAAAGATCTTGGAGACATTCTTACCCACACTGAGCTTGTTTCTTTATCTGTTAAATGGCGATAGCACAGCCTATCCTTGCAAAGCTGTTTTGCGTGTGATCTCTTGGATGAGATCATATATATATAAAATTATATAGTGTTGACATATGGACATTCAATAAATGTTACTTCCTGAGGAGCAGGGGAGATAAAAGCCCATGCCCGCCAACTTCTCAGAGAATAAAAATAGTCTCTATCAAAAACATGTAAAAATTTCCTCAGGTGAGAAAACAGAAAATGACACCTAGCATGGCCGTATTTATTTCAGTCCCATTATGCTGGTTCTTTTCCCTTCTCCATTCCACCTCTACCATGTCTTCTGCCAGGAGAAGTGCTTCACCAGGATGGTGTGACTGCCAGCGTCTCTTTGTGAAATGGTCCCTTACATGTTCAGGCTTCCATCTTACGCCATCCTCTCCTTTCATAGCACTCTGTCCCTAGCTCTTTCAGCCACTGTGGTGTGGAACTTCACCTGTTCATGACCAGGGACTAGGGCAGGCCCATTCTTGTAGCTTTGTGTTCTCCAAACTTAGCATGGTACCTGGCAACTAGTAGGCACTCCATGAGTGTTTGCTGAATGATGCACACTTAATAGGATTACATGTGAAGACAGCTAATTTTAGCAAAAATAAAATGTAGGTGCTGACTTCTGTTAAGGCCCATTCTAATCTGGAGATTATGGTTTTAGTTTAAAGATTCTAGGGGTGTAGTCCTAGAATAGTGATTGAAAACTGGAAATACAAATGACTGTCATGAACGTTTTGTGCAAATTTTTAAGTTCTACACATGTTTTTAGTTAGTATTAATAGGAATCCATTGTCATTATAAGCAGCTTATAAATATTCATGATTTATCATTTGGTTTGGGGTTCATTTCTAAGGCTCTTACCCCCCGCCTGCCCCTTCCTATTGCCTTGCCTGTCTGTTGGCTGGCTATTTATTCAAATACTTTATTCCCACTGGCCGGCTGAGTGGCTCAGTTGGTTAAGAGCTCGCTCAAGAGTTTGAGCTCTGAGCAACAGCGGTTCGAGTCCAGCCCGAGCTGAGCAGCCGCTGAGCTGCCAACAGGTAGCAGGATGGCTCAGCTTAAAAAAAAAAAAAAACTTTATTCCCATCAAGGCATAGGAAAGAATATGAATTGAGAATCTAGTCAGTAGTTCGTATTTATTTTCTCTGGAGAAAGATACAAAATCAGAAAGCATTGCAAGCTGTTCTTTTGAATATTCTTATTTATGCACATATAAAACTATTTTTACATCATACTCTGTAGCTGATGATTGCTTATGTGGTAAGGAAAAGATCTGTGCCAGTAGCTTAAGCTATGTCAGCCAGAAAGTTATCTAAAAGTTTTACATTCTATGTAGTTTTTGAAAAGAGCGTTGCTGTTGTCTATACATACGAGGTTGGACAATTAAGTTCATGACCTCATCCTAGAAAAAGTGCTACATACCTCATTGCTGAATATCACTATGGTCACCTTTGAAGTACTCCCCTTGGGAAGCTATGCACTGACATCAGTGCCTAGTCCACCCTTCAAGGCAATTTTGGAACTCTTTTTGTGGAATGGCCATCAGAGTTGTTGTCATATTACCCTTGATGTCCTGAATGTCATCAAAATGTTCTCCTTTCAATATTTCTTTGATCTTCAGGGAAAGAAAGAAGTCATTGGGGGCCAGATCAGGCGAGTAGGGAGGGTGTTCCAATACAGTTATTTGTTCACTGGCTAAAAACTTCCTCATAGACAGTGCTGTGTGAGCTGGTGCATTGTCGTGATGCAAGAGCCATGAATTGTTGGCGAAAAGTTCAGGCCATCTAACTTTTTCATGCAGCCTTTTCAGCACTTCCAAATAGTAAACTTGGTTAACTGTTTGTCCAGTTGGTATAAATTCATCATGAAGAATCCCCCCTGATATCAAAAAAGGTTAGCAACATCATTGCAACAAGTTCACAAACTTAATTGTCAGATCTTGTAGGAGGTACAAAGGGAAAAACTAATATGGCAAAGCACCTACTGTGTGCTGGGCACTCTCCCTTCATTTCCTAATGGAATACTGACCACGCTGTAGAGTTGACAGTTATACCTCTAAGTGTATTCACACATTTCTAAGTGTAACGCAGAGTAATACCCATCAGCCTTCTTCACAGCCACAACAAATCAACCTACACTACAGGTCAGAGCATTTCCCTTGTTATACAGCTACAGCTTTAAGCCAAGGTTCCTAATCTCCCTTATCAACTAAATTGTCACACCTATGTTTCTCCACAGAAGCAAACGTAGATATTATAAGCGGTTTAATAATGAGGGAAACAGGCACAAAGAGATTAACCAACTTGCCTTAAGTTACTGCTAAATATATATTGTATTTGAACACTAAAACTAAATTATTTACTACAAGCTTAAAATTATCTATTTTAGAATGGGCCTGTTAATAAGTAATTATTTAAAAGCTTAAAATTTCAGGTAAGTGTGAAAATATTGCCTACCAAATTACAAGCACAAATCATGTCTATCTTCTGGGGAAAAGTTTTGTGGTTTTTCTTGTAGTATCT